CGGATCTTGCGTTTTCTTGTATTTTCACCATATCCACCCAACCTATCGGTCGATTCCAGTAGATTTCATGTCCCGTCCGTGCAATTTGTTCCGCTATTTCTGATCTTTGTGTACCCATGTTTCTGCAGAGTCTTTGATGTTTCTTTTTATTCGTAAGCCGATTTTTCGTCCAGGTTCACCGATATACTTTTGCTCACAGTTTCTGCATTTGATGCGATAAACTCCCGAACATTCAAGTTTATCTGTCTTCTCGTGTTGTGTTGGCAGACCGGTTAAAAATATTTTCTTCTCCTTTTTATTGCCCTGATATTCCATTCCCTTAGTAATGGTCGCAATTGTTGGCTCAGTTGTGATAAGGGCAGGCAAATCCACTTTTGGTTGTCATCCTGACCAAACGGAAGATAGAAATGGAATTAATTACATGAATCCTAGCACATCATGAGCCAATAAACGGGAGCGGATTAAGGAAAATATGCAGAAAACTACAAAGGAATAACCAAATAGTTTTTGAGGTGGATAAGGGTAGAGCTACGGTCTCAACCACAGACTGAAGATCAGAATAATGAGGAGTCTGCTCATCTGAAGCTGAAGACTAACGCACATATAGTCCTGCGACAAGGAAGTGAACAAAGTTACTAACATTTTTCTCAGTAATTGGTACCCCGAGAATTCATAGGGAGAAATATAGGGGCCATCAGGAGGAGATATCAACTTTGGTATTATGAAAATAAAATCAGGATTCGGGACCAAAAAGGGATGAGCAGAAGTGAATAAGCTTGCCCTCCTGTGAACTGAGCCAACGATTGCGATCTTTCATATGGAAATGGAATATTTAAGTGATTACGAGGAAGAAGGCATTTCTTCATCAGTTTGCTAGGCAACACTTAAGGGTTTAAAAACTGGATTACTCAGGAGTTCAGCGCATAAAATGTGGCAAGTATGAGCGGAATTATATTGGTAAAACAGAAAGAAAAATCAGCCTACGAATCAAGGAACTTCAAAGACTCTGCATAAAGATCTAAATGGAAAGATCTTAAATAGCGGAACGTATTTTACGGGCAACCCATTAACTCAACTGGAAATCAACAGAGAGGCTAGCTGCATATGGTGAAAATACAAAAAGATGCAATATACGATCAGCCATCTATATCCTGACTGAAAGAAATCTGATGACTTAAAGGAGACAGGATTAGTGAAAAATTTGCATGTTGCTTAAGCAAATTCGAAGGAGATGAGTGATCAGCAAAAAGAAAACGACTGGATCAAGGAAATATTTTAAACTTGAGGAAAAGGAATAGCAAATAGGTAGCCATAGATAAACAATCTGAAACCAAGAGGAGACGTATAAAGTGAGCCTAACCAAAGCAAGTAGAACAACTATACTATTTGGGGGTTGACGCACAAGAGATTTGGGCATAGGAACTTCATACACTTGGCATTATAGATAGCTGCGAAAAAAAGTTAGGTTTCGAGGAATCTATTGTTTCATAATTGTTGAGCTTACTTATATTTTGAGTAAAAGTCTTTGGTGAAGAGATTCGAAGGTCGATTCCACCAGAAGACGACGGCGGATTCCTTTTGACCAGCTGTCGATTGGCTTTAGTGGAAGATTCATGCTGACGCTGTTTCCGAGATAATCTCCTTCGATTCCGGTGAAAAGGTGCTAAGCTTTCGTCCGTCATATAATCAACATTATCAGAGCAAGGTATCATCGTCACAACCAAATTCAAGCTAACAACTCAAGAAAACTCCTTCAAATCTCTTCACCAAACGCTTTCACTCGAATGGAAGTAAGCACAACAGTTATAAGTAGGCCCTAAGTTTTCATTAAATTTCACATAGCCTTGATTCCCAAAATGTATTCTCATCCAGACTGGACAGTAGTTTCGACCTCGTCTAGGCCTTATCAACAACCTCAGCGGGACTCATATGACGGACGAAAGCTTAGCATCTTTTCATCGGAATCGAAGGGGATTAACTCGGAAGCAGCGTCAGAATGAATTTTCCAGTAAAGCCACTCGGCAGCTGGTCAAGAGGAAGTAAAGGATTTACCACGAGATTTTTATTTTATACATGCCGAACAGTAGTAAGGGAATCTGCAGTGTCAAGTGAGCTTTCCATCTAGCTAGGAAATCGAGACTTAGTGTGTTTGCTCAGTAAGGCTGGGTTATACGTGCTATCAAAAGGCTTGAGACAGAGTGTAGAAAGAACATAACGCATCGAGTAGCGCGGATGTGATGGCAATTATCGAATGAAATCACTGAACCAAGAAGATACGAGATGAATTCTATGGGGTAAAAGGAAGGCTGATAAGATCTGGAAGATGAGGATCGTGGGCTAAACTTACAGACTTGCTTGTTTCCAAATTAATTTACTCTGATTACTTTACTAACCTTAAGATTAAATTGTCTTGTATATTCCTTATTTCCTTCATTTCTGGATTCTTTTTTAATAACTTTTACCCGAAAATTATTTTTCATTCATATTTTTTCTTAGGGCCTCGTACCACTCCGGCATCGAATCATTGCCCACGTTGCAGCCAAAAACTAAACAGCCACTTAATCTCGTTGGCGATGTCTCTGGTCGGGTCGCAATCATCGTTGATGACATGATTGATGAATTGGATCAGTTCTGTCGGGCTGCTGAATTGCTTCATGAGAAAGGTGCCAAAAAAGTAAGCTACTTTGAACTATACACAGTTCAGGAAGTCTGTCAATCTGACCACAGATTCATTCATGACTTATTTCGCGCTTGGGTAATTATTGCATTTTTGTTGTTGCTTGGACATTTTTGATAATCGCTCTCTTGAACAGCCGATTCTGTCTCTTCCTTTTTCTTAATTCTCTCATATATCTTTCCCTAATGAAAATGACGAAATAAATTCGCATAACGACTCATTAGAAACCCATGCTTGCTCTTATATTTTTATTTCTGATTTAATTATAAATGTAGTCTGCAACTTTACATGAACTGCATTGCCTTTAATCTCTTACCTCTTATTTGATGCCTGATATTCTGTCATACTTGTTTTGTAAGGCTGGTTTTCATTTGGGGTATACGTCTGGCGGATAGACTGACTTATTCCTATTGCTCTGCTCTATTTATTCATAACGTAGCACTTAGAACGATGTACTATTCTCGAGACTCTCTTTTTTGGTTCCGATAGAGCTATGTTGGGCCTTCTGTTATATGACAGACATTGTTAGAGTTGGACATTATTCCTCTAGCACTTCAGGCTAACACTGGTTCGGAGAAGTTACCTTATTGCATCTACCTCCTATACTTACTCTTCAAAATGTACCTAACCTGTTGATATCAATGAAGTCATGTCAGCGAAAGTCTTTGCAATATTAATTTATCTGGTAAACAAGTATCGCTGGCAATAACACTTATGCAGACATATTATTTGCTTATTTTGTATTTTTGATGCCTGTAACTATCTTATAATTTGTTTTATTTTATCGGTTTGAAATTTAATTTGGCTAGTGACCCTAACATTTAATACACTTGCTTGGACTACCTGCCCTAATAGTCTATTAATCGTTTGCTTCACTACATTTTCAATACTTTCATTTTTAAAGCCTTTATTTAGTCTGGAGCATGCCAGACTAGGCTTTTAGCATTTTTATGCCTTACTGATACGATGCAGAATTTTAGACAACTGGATAAAAGTGACAGAGGATGCTGTAGATGGCGAACAGAAAAAACAGTCTCAGAGTTAGGAATATCTCATAAAATACTTTGTGAGTCGTTGGGGAACACCTCTTATAGGAATGTCGGAGAGTTTGCTTGATTCTTAGGGGGTGCTACGGGTTGGGTTCTCAAGGAGTTTGGGGCTGCAGGCTGTGCAATAGAGGTCTACTGACAGGTTTAAGTGCAG